ATAGTATTGGATGTCAGAAACCCGTTCTTTCCGGTAAGATCACAACATCAGTGTTCATTTAAATTGACAAATAATTCGTGTTTTCACTGTCGAAGATTTGAATGATACTGAGTTAGAGCTATTTTAATGATTAGTGAAGAAATCATATTTAGGATAATACTTTTTATATTCTTGCTTATGTTCGCGATATTTTCAAAGCTAATTTACCTGTAATTGGTTATTTAAGTGCTTCATCTTGATAATAAATGTTTCTTATTTATGGGTTGTGTAAGTTATTTCATACAGAGTTAACATAATCATTATTAATCTTTAAGTTTTATTCTATCGATCTGTTATTATGAATGGATACCGAATGAACGGTTGCATAAAAAAACACTAAATATTATCTCAGGGTAGTGTTAGGGTTGACAAATCGACCAAATAAACAACTGGTTGATGTAGTAAGTTGTAGAGGATGAAATTATGGAGTTAATATTAACTCGTAATTATTAGTAGTTCACGGCCGGGTATTTTTCGCCATAAGTTCAATTCGTACGCATGTTCACTGATTAGCAGACCACCGTTATTTAAACTACTTTTCTGTACCAATGGAGACTGACATACGCCATGTAATGTGCTCCGAAGGAAATTTTGCCCAGAGATGTCGCTATGTCCTACTCTTCTGTCAAATTGAACTGACGAAGTTTCTATACGTACACATGCACAAGGAACCTCGCTTTCCGTTACTTCAGTATACTAGACAACAGACACTGTCCCTATCCAGTTCCCACGTCCGCACCCTTCACCAATGAAATGGGGGGGGGGGGATCACGCTGGAAGATTCTCAGCCAGCATCAGGACCTTCTGATTAGAGATTGAAATTGGGGTATTACAACGAAAGAGCTTGGGCCAGAGACGAAATGATCTGAATTAAAATGGGGCTTATACGTTCAACTGTTCTATTGAAGATGTGTTTTGCGTTAGACGTTTTTTTTGTAGAATATTGAAGATAAGTGAACTTTAAATGAGGTTTCCTGAAAAACTAGTATTTTAATATACCCGTATATACTGCCGTCGCCCCCGTCTGTCTGTCAGCCGGCATGTCCGTTCGTCAACGATTTCCGATAATTACTACCAGAGTTATAGAGCTTTACAACTTTGAAGACTCTGGGGATCGATTGACTTTAAATTTATACAAAGTGTTTCAGGTCATAAGAGGAAGAATCCTATTGATTTTCAACGATTCCCGATAAATTCTGCCAAAGTTATGGCTTTTAATCACTTTGGTATTTCTTGTTGACAATCTAGAGTTATTATCAGCTTGATTTGACATTTAAACAAAATGAATGAGGGCATGAAGGAATAATATTATTGGTATCCGATAATAACTTACTGTAAGCTTTATGGACCAAGATATTTTTGAAAACTCTTGTGGATGCTTTAGGGACCACTGGTATCACCCGAATGACTTGGAATTTGTACACTGTCTCGAGAGGGATATGCCTGTTGGTTTTCAACAATTACCAGGGTTATTGCCCTTGATCGCTTTAAAATTCGTATGTTGACCACAGAGACGAACGTCTATTGACATTTATACACTTTTTTTAAGGTCTTGAGAAGTAATCCTCTCAATTTGATTTCTTAATTTTTAGTTTCTTGTGAATTCTTTCACTACCGACAAACAAATTGCGCACACGACTTAGCTGCTGTGGGCACATGTTTCGTTGCCTGGTAATTTTATACAGATACCATTTTATTGTTGTTCAAAACAATCGATAAAACAGCAATTATTACGCATGTCATTCCAAACATGTCACATACAGAATAAAAAACCCGGAATCTTTAATAGTCGTACAAATCGTTTTTAACTGCACATTATTCTAAACTTAAAGGCACTCGCTCACTACCAATTTTATCATAACAAATGTATTGATATCGTTTCTTCAGTGGACAGAAATATTTAAATTATCAGAATTATATTAATGTATTTGTGGATAGCATGGTGATTATATATTTACATGATTTTAACTAACGTTTTCAGTTCTCTATTACATATATAATTGTTCCTGGCCATCGTATAAATCTTGTCGTATTGAAGCTTTAAAGGAGCTAAATCCCTATGCTTTGGCACCACGAAATGACACAAATGGGTCGCAACGCATATAATAATGTGTGTATAAACTGATTTACATTGTATCGTTTCTGTGTTGACTGCAATTTCTTATTGGTTCTGTTCGACCAAATACCAGAAGAGTCCAAATTTAATGGCAGTCTTTGGCATCTGGAATTTCAGTCTACACCAGTATGTTTAGCCTCGTTCACTGAGTCGCTTCATTACAAACGGCACTCGAAAGCATTCTGACGGGCTTTCTGTGTGTCAATGTTTTTTTCCCCGTCTTTCGAAGAAAGTTGGGGACTATTAAAATGGATCCGACTGCCTGTCCGTCACACTTTTTGGGACACAATAACCCTTCTTCTAATTATTGAGCTAGAATGTTTAAACTTGGTGTAAGTGTTTATTAGGTGAATGTCTTGACTGAGTTCAATGATTATCATTTCCCGCAATTAATGTGCAATTAATTAATATTTTCATTTATTTATTTTCGGATTTTGGCGGGGGACATCGGCCTCACTTTTCATTTTGTCTTAAATATTGGACATCAGAATCCCATCTTTTCGCGGTTATATAACAACATCAAATTCACATTGATGTTCTTATCTTACTGAGAAACAGCTGATTTGATGATTTACCTGGCACTATTTTTTAGCGCGGAATGTGACATTCTAGGCTCCTAGAGTGAAGTTTACCGTTCGTTTCTCTGTGGGGAAATAATCAAATCGGCTGTTTTCGACTGAACTTTTGATGTCACGATGTGACAATTCCAATTATCATGAGTATGGTAAACCTATCTCTGGGATCCGAGATTGGGACTTAATCCCACATTCCCGTAAGCTTTGTGAGTGCAATAGAGGCTTATGTTTTATACGCTCCCATTCCATGTGGACATAATATTATTGTCGTCGCCCCTGTCCTTCCGTTCACATTTTGTTTGCAGGTCACAATTTGTATCCGATTTTGAAAATGTAGGTTTGTATCCCCGGGATTCCGGTTCCTTTCGATATTGGCATGTATCGGACTGTAACTTCATGAATTATGAGCCCTGATTATCGAATATTCACGTTTTTAGCTTGTGGACACTATAGACGTCACAATTTTTCCGATTTTCATGAATCTTAAAATGTATGATTATAATCCAACAATCTCGGTTCCATTCCATATTGGCGCATATCGGAAACTAACTTCCTGGATTATGATCACTGATTGTGCGAAAAAACGCATTTTTAGTGTGTGCGACCCTCAAGAGGCCACAATTATTATTTGATTTTAAAAGATGTTCAAACATATCATTGTTAAACCGTAACGACGGTTGATTTCGAATTTCGTGGAAATCGGACCGAGATTATTCGACAAAATGGCCGCTCCTGATCGCAAATAGTGTAGCGTATACAATACCAAGGTGTGGCCCCCTCTAGAGGTCACAATTTTTGTCCGATTATGATGAAACTCAAAGAGTATGTTTATATCCCAGATCCCTTCGAATTAAGCGCATATCGGATCGTAACTTCCTGGCTTACGACCCTCTAGAGGTCACAATGTTTATTTGATTTTAAAAACCGTTTATATAAAAAAAATACCACTGATACAGCATAATATTGCTTGAGTTTGAATTTCCTACAAATCGGACCGAAACTGCCTGACAAATGGCCGATCCACGGTACGGATATAGTGTACAAATGTAATATCAAGGCTGAAGACCCTGTAGAGGTCAATTTTTATCTAAATTTGAAGGAACTTAAAGAATATGTTTCCTCGGTCCCTTTCGATATTAGCGCATATCGTACAGTAACTGCCTGGATATGGCCCCTGATCGTACGAAAATCACAATTTTTATTTGATTTTAAGAAACGTTCATATATTATTACTGTCGCATTATAGTTATGCTTGAGTTTGAATTTTGTGATAATCGGACCGAGACTTCCCGTCAAATAGCCACTGATCCCTTATACGTAAATACATGTAATGCCAAAGTTGTAGACACTCAGTTCCGTTCTATATAGGCGCATATTGGACGGTTACTTTTTGGATAATGGCCCCTGACTGTACGACAAATACCGATTTAGCTTTTGAGTCCTCTAGAGGTCACAATTTTTCTCTGATTTTAATGAAACTTTAAATACGTTACTATCCCTACGATCCGGTACCTGTCGATATTGGCGTGTATGAGACCGTTAGTTCATGGATTATGACCCCTGATTGTAGGTAAACGTACTGCATCGCCCTCGGGAGGGGACGAATCCTATCGACATTCGCGTTCCTGAGTTACCCCCATTTCCGACAATCTTCATAATTCGATCAACTTTGCTCGATAGTCCGTCCGGGGGTAACTCACCCTAAAAACACTTATTAACACATTAGTGTCTAGTGGTTTTCAATTAACCTTTTTCTGTTCCAATTTAATGTGGGACAGTGGCATATATTAACACGTTAGTGTCTAGTGGTTTTCAATTAACCTTTTTCTGTTCCAATTTAATGTGGGACAGTGGCATATATTAACACATTAGTGTCTAGTGGTTTTCAATTAACCTTTTTCTGTTCCAATTTAATGTGGGACAGTGGCATATATTAACACGTTAGTGTCTAGTGGTTTTCACTTTTCAGTGTAAGTGAGTTAACCTTTTTTTGTTCCAAATTAATGTGGGACAGTGGGATTGGAAACACCGTACATTTAAAGCATTCTATGATATACTTTTTCTAGAAATACTATGTGTCCTAAAGCTTGTTAATATATTACAGGGATTAGATTTCTTGAATGCAGCTTTATGCCTTATCAAATTTGCTCGATATTCAAATTACTGTCTATGGCTGCTATGTGGGCGCATTTCCACGCACTGCGTGACTGTCTTAATTGATAGCATCTGTATATGTTTTATGAATTTAAAACAAAAGTGAAAGTCCTTACCTCTTCGTTTTGAGTAATATTTTAACAGATCGTTAGTTTCCGTCATTGGGTTGGTTAGTAGTGGTATGAAATTGTAGAAATAACATCTTTTAGATACAACATCAAAGCTAAAACTTTTACATGCTGACAATCTAGAACAATCTGTAGCGCATTGAAATTTAAATCTAGAATTGGTTTGTTGAAAAAAGTTAGTTGTTAGCTGAGCTTGGTGTCTGTACAACCTCCATCGCGACTCCTGGATTAAAACTGTATGTCCTATTTGAAATATTGAAATTAGCCACAAGTAACCCTGGATCACATAAGTTGGCATCTTAACAAAAATGAAACATTTACTCAAGTATTCTTACAACTAAAGATTGGCATTTTTAAGTTCCTATTACAAGTCGATTCTTTTGCACTGACGCGGCGTACCGCGCAGCTTTATAAATCACGAAGTATTGATTATAGTCTAGTTACTGTATACGTTCAATTTATCCTTCCCAGTTTATCAGAATGATATCAATCTGCATCGATTTATTCAGGTTTTACCATACAAAAAAATTCAATTATATCACGTTTCTCTTAGATACAACAGAGAGAACATACCCCCAAAATAAAAATTATTTGACTAACATTCTAAGAACTGTATGCATCACTAGTTGTTGTAGAGAGCGAAGTCAGTGCTAAAATGCGCCCATATTGGTTATCTAACGTTAAATTAAAGATTCATTATAAATGCAAGGGCTAAATCTGCCTATTGCAGGTCTCTTTTTTCTGGCTTAAAATGTTATAAATTATTATTTAGACGCTTATTCACATAACCCATTCGGATCAGAACAGTAGGACGTTAAACCCCATTTCATTTTCGTGTTGACATAATCACTTAGATATAGACAACGCCCGCCATATCATCGTTAAACGATAATATGGCTTGCAAACACGGTTAATTTAGGCCATTTTGACAACGCTTCAAACAATTATAACTTCGATCAGAATAAATTAATTACACACATATTTTTATCTATTTTTGAACTGTCAGCTTTTTGTTTACCCCCCCCCCCCAAAAAAAAAACAAAAAAAAAACCCAACATTAATCTTACATAATGGATTTTTAATAAGACTATTAAATAAAATAAAAACTTAGTTCTGTAAACGGTCTCGATTCCGATGTCGATGGGTTATTCCGCTGCTCATATTCGTGATTTTAAACGCCCATAAATAATATCACCCTACAGGTAAGATTCTGAGCGGCGCATACGTGGGTGACAATAAAAAGTACCCAACCTTTTCGGTGGGACCATAAGCAGGTGTGTACATAAAACAACTCTTTGACAGTTTGAAGACAATTAGGCTACATTGTACAAGTAACCATATAACTAAGATTTACCATGTATTAGTCGAAGCACGTATCAATGGAACGGTCGATGACATCTGAATGCCAATAAACAACAACCGTTAAGTGGTTCTTCAAACTGAGCAGACGGGAAAAATATTTTTAAATAATCTGGGTTTTTCTTATATTTTGGATCAACAAAATGCTTTTGATGTATCCATATTGTCACAAATAGAACTTTGTATATAAGATCAATTTATCAGTAATGGTTCGCCACACCAGAACACTCAAGTAAACTACAGTTTTATAAATTATATAAAACCATTCGCCAACCAGAATCTTACCTCTAATAAAACTACTATCTGGCATTTTCGTTGCCGTACTCTCTAACCAAATATTGAAACCGGACAATATAATAAAATCGAAAGATATACAAGATCATCCAAATGTTGTAATATGGGAGCTGTTGAAGACGAATTTCCCATTCTGCTGTGCTGTCCCGCTTATATATCTCCCTACAAAATATTATTCGCGTTATTTTTGGTATTTTCCCTATCACTACAAAAGCCAAAAAAAACCCTAAAGAATCACGAAGATAATAATAAAAAAACTGCTTAATCTTGGAAAATATCTACATTACTCAATTAAAATAAGCAAACGACAGTAAGATAACCTTACCTGATGGGAATCGCGAACCTTTAACTGAGTATTCTTTTATCAACCGAATATAAATTTGGTTAATTATCAGTCTTTGACCTTCTTCTGAATATACTTTCTAAATATTATGTACATAAATGGGGTGGTGGCTGTTGTGTCGTGTGTGTATATATATTTATTTATTTGTGAGGGTCATGGGAGGTGGAGGGGGTATTTGTTTTTTCGCGAATTCGAGCCTACAGACTAAGCATGTGGAATAGCTATATTAAGAAGATGTGTATTGTCAGGGGCGTACATTTAGATTTTGTTTGTGGGGGAGGGGGTAGCAAAAATGCGACCGACTGATGCACATGTCCCTAATACGAGTGACGCAGTCAGGGGCCAAGCACCACAGATGATAGTTTTCTAGGGCCAGTAGCTGATCTGGAAGCTGGGAATAGTGGGTGGGGTGGGGCGGTTCCAAATCTAGGGCGCCATCCACAATCACCTCCCACGATGAATGTCAACAAAATACTGGCTTTAACACTGGGAGTCCCGGTAGAACATAGATCGGATTGCCTATAGTTGTTCGTCGATCGTTATCTCATCGGAAAGCAGTATTATTCAAGTTGACATAAAGTATATGTCATATAATATGATGATTGTTATTGACACTGACACTAACACTGAGCAACCTGAGAAAATTTTTAAAAAAATTAAACCAATATCCTGGCACTTGAGGTCACTGATGGGAGCCAATTCTTGTGAACAAGAGAATCAGAAATAGGATTCAATGGGACAGAATCTCTAAAAATGTCCCTGTCAATTCCGCCTGTTTTGCCAGAGTTGCCAGAACATTTGTACAGTCTGACGTCCCACGACCCATGCACCAACGGTACTACTAACTGGGCAGTTCACTATAACCGTGAATATGACATTACTGGGGCAGTATAAGACCACAGAGGAGTGGAAGAATGATGCCATAATGGAATCTAGAGGCGCCGGCGCGAACAAAAATCAGTTACTGACCTTTTAATTTTTGGGACTGGGCCTGAAAAATTAAAGTCAATGTCATGACAAATGGGATCAGATTTCCCTTAACGAGAGGATAAGAAATGGGACAGAAATCTCGGGGCCCTTCCGTCAATTTTGTCGGTTGTGAGAGTAGAAATAATAATTCTACAGTCTGTCGGTCCACTCACTAGTGGTACTACTAATTGGGCGAATTACTGTAACTGTGAATATGATAGTGATGAGATTGTATAAGACAGAGGAGTTGAAGAATAATGATACAATAGATTATGTAACTGAATTTTAATTATTGGGACTGGGCCTGAGGGGACTTTGTCTTACGGGAGCGTTTACTTTGTCTCTGAAATGCCATTTACTGTACTTTGGGATCTGGGGAAAGGTTTTGCAGAATTCTGATGGTCAAAAAATACTTACAGCATGAGTAAAATACGTTTTAATTTCTACTGGAACTAAATATGCAATAAGTAAAAATTCTTAAGTTCAATGGTGGTTGAATGGCTGAATGGTTAGCGTGTGCGCGCTGTATCATAAAGTCTGTCATTGAGTCAACTGGCGTGGTTTCGATTCCCCGGTTGTACGTGACAAGGAGTAGGGTCGCCTGTCCAACCTCCGGGTCCTCCGGTTTCCTCCCACTGCTAAAGATCCCTACGCGCAAGCGAATTATTGAAATAAAAATAAACCAAACGTTAGTCCCGAAATGACCTAGTTTGTGTCGAGTGGACGTTAAACCCTATTCCTCTCTCTCTCTTAGGTTCAATAGATCGCCTTAACATTTCATAATTTAAAGATTTGTTTACGTATTTCTGAAATAAACTATGCTTCCGATAACTTCCTACCAACTGTTCGACTAATGTTATTCGCATGACAATCAATAATATAATTTAAGTTATCAAAATCTTCGTAAGAAGCTCTCTCAAATTCTTAGACCAACATAGTCATAACAGGGAATTTTATTTTCAAACATGAAAAATTGACTAGGTTATTTTATACTATAATGTTGTAGTTTAATAATAATAACTTCCTGGTTGTACGAAAAATCGCGTTTTTAGCTTATGTGGATTCTCTAGAGATCGCATTTTTTATATATATATTTTAAAAACCGTTTAAATATATCACTATTCCACCATAATGGAACTTAACTTACTGGATTATGGCCCCTGATTGTTCGAAAAAAAATCGCATTTTTAGCTTGCGGATTCTCTAGAGGCCACAATTTTTTTCCGATTTTAAAAACCGTTTAAATACATCACCATTCCACTATAATGAAGGTTGAATTCGAGTTTCGGGTAAATCGAAATAAAGCTACCCGACAAAATGGTCGCTCTTTGTACGCAAATTGTGTAAAAGTATGTAATACGAAGGTTGTGGACCCTCTAGAGGTCACATTTTTTTTCGATTTTGATGAAACTTAAAAGATGTCTTTATATCCCCAAGATCAGAGTCCCTTGTGATATTTGCGCATTTATGGCCCCTGATTGTACGAAAAATCGCTTTTGTTTTAGCTTTTTCTCTATCCATCTCTTGCAAAATGGGTGGGGGGGGCGTATCTTGCCTGACAACCGCTGGTTCAACTATTATAGGGAGAACTGTCAGTTATTTTATCTACTGTCCCATAATACCGCTTTAACTTACATATAAATGAAAGACATGGTATGTATTGTTTACTCTGCTCGTCATATTTCAGCATATAACTTGACGCTGACTCTCTAATCAAAATGTCTCGGGTTCGCTCTCGATGTTGGTAGACAAAGTTACCCGGAATTTTCCAGCGTGGCTCCCCTTTGTCAGTGGTACAGGGCGGAGCGCCTGGAAAGGAACTGTCTAGTTGTTTGGATGGTACGAATAACCGATGTCCCGTGTAAACTTTGGGGTACACGTACAGGAACCTGTGACAGTTGAAATTCGAAATGAATGTGGGTCGAAGGCCACTGTCCGGTCAAAATTTCCCTAATACCACACTGCATGACTTATGACTAATTTCTTCAAGTAGTGGAGTCGAAGTAAGAGTTAACCTAGAACAAATTGCAACAGGTTTCTTGGTACCGTTGTCTTCGTGAGATCGTCCACTACAACATACCCAAAGTTCTCTGGGGAAAGGGCCTAATTAACATAAATTCAATATGGCCACCAAATGTACCTCTTGAGTCACAAACTCCTCTAATATTGAGTTTTCGCCTTACTAAATTATTACAGATGGAGACATGGCCTCTGCAAGTCAGAATATCTTGTCAGAAATTATCATAAATCAACCCCATGACGACAGCACGTCTTATTCTGACGTTTAATG